TCACTTCTTCAGATGCAAGTGAGGTTCTTACGCACGAAAGCTTATGCTCCCAATACTTCTGTTAGTCTTAAAGGTGCCACAGGACCCTCTGTTGCTTTTTACAGATTCAGACTAACACGGCTACCCCTCTGATACTTCATTTTAGTAAGGATTTTAGCACAATCCAACATGACATTCTCATAAGCAACTAGGGAAACGTGGTGTAGATTAAATTACTATAAAGTGGATGCAAAACTAGTTGAAAGATCATACTCAAAGAGTAGTTATCAATGGTTCATTATCAAACTGGGGGGACACATCTAGCGAGTCCCTCAGGGGTCTGTCCTGGGGCCAGTGCAGTCATTATCCAATGACTTGGATAATGGAGTGGAGAGTATGCTTATAAAATTTGCAGATGACACCACACTGGATGGGAGCAGGCAGAGACCCAGCAAGAGTACTATGGAGGTTCCCCATACATTCTAATCCTGTTGGTACTGGTGATGTCAGCAGACTGCTTTTTAGGATTTGAACTCTGGATGATGTTGTCTGTTGACTGATTGGTTATTTACCCCAGCCTCATCCTTCCCCTCTCCTCACAGTCCCTCTGCTGCCTGCAAAAAAACTGTCATCATTATTGATCATGGTGGTCAGAATTTAATTTACATTTGTTAGATTAGAGGAGTTATCTGCCAATGAAGGTGACTGGTGGTGTTTCCAAAACCAGATTTTAAGACGAACTCATGATGTAACAGTTTGAGTAACCAAGTATTTAGTTAACATTGATTTATTTGCTTTGTTCATGTGTTCAGGTGCAACTGGTATTGAAGACCGTTTACAAGATGGTGTCCCAGAAACCATTGCAAACTTACGTAAAGCTGGGCTGCAAATTTGGATTCTCACTGGAGACAAGCAAGAAACAGCTATTAATATAGCTTATGCATGCAAGCTACTAGATCATGATGAGGAAATCATCACCTTGAATGCTGAATCACTGGTAAACAGATCCTTGTCAGATGGTTAAATGTTAGCTTGAAGTCCAAATGTGAACTAGTTTTGCTTTGATTTTGGCAGCTGCAGTTAAAAGGTTGATTGCTTTCATCTTCTTTTTTATCTTTCTTCTTCCTGTTCAATCTATATTTTGGAGCTAGGATTTGTATGTGGATATTTATTTATTAATTATTTATACTCCCATGTGGTGGGGCTTCAGCTTTCTGCCCTGGGCCCTAGCAAGTCTAATGCTGGCCCTTCTTGGTGGACCTCCTGAAACCTGCTCGCGCTCCCAACAGGGGGCCCCAGATCCCTGGTTGAGAGCCACTGGGACATACTATAGTAAGGTACATGCCGGGACATAGTACAGGGGAACCCCGCTATAACGCGCCCCGCGATACTGCAAATTCGGTTATAACGCGGGGTGAGTCTGGCCCCGGCGGTTGCAGCGAGCGTGGGGCATTTGGGATCCATGCCCCTGCGGCTGCAGCAGAGCGACTCTCCCTGCAGCCCCGGCGGGCCCCTGGGGTTCTCACCTCTGTCCCCGGCAGGGCCAGCTTCAGCCCGCACCGGCAGCTGCGGCCGGCGGGCAGGCCGGGAGAGCGGAGCTGCCACGCTCCGGCCGGAGGTCCGGCCGGGGTCGCAGGGCAGGGCTGTGGGGCTGCCGCGCTCCGGCCAGCGTCCAGCTGCCGTCGTGGGGCTGCGGGGCTGCCACGGTCCGGCTGGGAGAACGGGGCTGCCGCGCTCCGGCCGGCGCTCTGGCCAGGGGAGCGGGGCCCCCGAAGACGACCGCCGCCAGGGCGAATCGGCCTAAAGCTGGCCCTGCTGGCCACCCCTCTTCTCTCTCTCCCCCCGCTGCCTCCCTCCCGCTAGCCAGGGCGCACACACTGCTGCAAACTGAACACAAGTACAGTGGAAACCCGCTATAACGCGACCCCGTATTTACCGCGATTGAATTTTTTGGACCCCAATGATCGCGTTATAGCGGGGTTCCACTGTATTCACTTATTTCTTATTGGCACCCACTGAAAATACAAAAGCAATCTATCATATGTTTTTGAAGGAGAAAACAATGAACTGCCTGTTAAGAATAATTATTTAAAAACCAATGGACAGTAATTCATACTCTGCTATATTGACTTTTTCTTAATATATGGAGATATACTGATCTCATAGATTTAGAAGGGACCCTGAAAGGTCATTGAGTCCAGCCCCCTGCCTTCATTAGCAGGACCAAGTATTGATTTTACCCCAGATCCCTAAGCGGCCCCCTTAAGAATTGAACTCACAATTCTAGGTTTAGCAGGCCAATGCTCAAACCACTGAGCTATCCCTCCCCTCCGTTTCATTTAATGGTAAGGAAAATGTTTGAATTTCAGTGCTCATAGTCATGATGGCCTGATAACCCGAGATACAATCAGGCATTGCTCAGCTTGTCTTAAATACACAATAGCAAGGGGTTTGCTGATATGGTCAAACATAGAAGGAACCAGGTTGATAGCACCAAAGAAATTGAATGTGGTGATTAAATCAGTTTTCAAATCCAGAACTGGAGGTAGACTAGCACTATCCAACTACAATTCCTTTCTAAAGGAAGGAAAAGATAACTATGGTCCATTCTTAGTGTAGCAAGTTAGCTGGTCAATTGTTTTCCTATGATTTCACTGCTTTATTTCTGATAACTTGAAAAATATTTTGCTACAAGACTGGTAGCATTTTATCTTAAATGTTCATATGTTAGTAATACATTCTGTTAATTAAGTTTGGTTGGGATATAGATTTTAAAATAAGTTAAATAACCTTTAATTGGCATTTACAAATACCTGATCAATGATTTGATTAATAGGCATTCTGAGATGCTCATCACAATAGTTAGCTCAGCACTGGATTCTTATTCTATCACATGTCAATTCTGCTATTCTGAGGACAAGCTGAAAGAAATCAGTTTAAAAGACAGCACTGCAGGTTAAAAAGTAAACAGAATTGCTTTTAAGCCCTTTATTTATCCATTGCTGGCAGTATCTTCTGCAACAAAAATTAAATGTTTTTAGATGGGGTAAAGAAGGAGGAAAGAATAATAGAAATAAAAATTGTCGAAGTGGAATCAATAGTGCAGACTCTCATGTTCCCCATTTCTAAATTTATAACAAGCACAGTAAGTTGATTACATGGTCCCACAGCAGCAACTTTCATTTAAACATATTTATTTTTGTATTGTATTTCAGGAGACAAGTGCTGCTCTGCTGGACCACTGTCTGCAATATATAGAGTCTAAATTTTCAAACAACACAATCGACAAGACTGCTGGAAACACGACAGTTGGGTTTTGCCCTCTCTCTCCACCTTCATCTTCAGTGCATTCCAGCTTGGGCCTAGTGATTGATGGAAAGACTCTGGCTTATGCACTGGATAAAACACTAGAAGACAAATTTCTTTCACTAGCCAGGAGATGTTGCTCAGTTCTGTGTTGTCGCTCTACCCCACTGCAAAAAAGCATGGTAGTAAAACTAGTCCGAGATAAACTCAAAGCAATGACCTTGGCAATAGGCAAGTATCTCCATTTAAATGAGCCTGTATTTACATGCACACACCCCTTATGGATTTCCCTTTTCTTCTGGACACTTTAGAAACCTAAAACCTTCAATTTTAGTTTGAAAATGCTTCTGTGAGCTTAAGAGCATTTATTCCAAACAAAAATAGAGTTTCTAAGGTGACATCTGGGATTACTTCCTGCAGAAGCTGGCCAAATGGAGCTGGTCTACTCCACAATGGTACTTGAATAGAGCAACATTTTGTAAAGAATTGAGTGAGCTGACACCATTGACCACTGCTTTGCAGTATATATCAGGACAAATCTGTGTTCAGCGTCATTTCAGCTACTCATGATTAAACCCAAGGCCTTCAATTTTTTATCATGAGTAGGTGACGGTGCTGAACACCAGTTGTCCGGGACTACAGTGATTGTAAAGTTGTGATCAGCATCATGTCAGCTAACATAGTTCTTCAGAACCATTTTCCATTATGTGGTACTCTTTGTCAGTCAGACAGTTCAGAATCCTGCAGCACCCACAAGGTTCCTGCACTTTAAATTGAGAAAGCTCTGCTTATTCCTCACACAACCCTCCTTTCCCCACTCTGAGTCTAATGTCATAGAGTTTATCCCATTGTGCCCAGCCTCATGCCCAATTTTAGGGTCCCTTAATACTTCCAGTCAGTTAGTTTGCAGCAGGAATGTTTTCAGGAGTTTGTTTCCCTGTTGCACATGGACTTCTTAGGGTATGTCTACACTACGGGATTAATCCGAATTTACAGAATTCGAATTTTGGAAACAGATTGTATAAAGTCGAATGTATGCGGCCACACTAAGCACATTAATTCGGCGGTGTGCATCCATGTACCGGGGCTAGCGTCGATTTCCAGAGCGTTGCACTGTGGGTAGTTATCCCATAGCTATCCCATAGTTCCCGCAGTCTCCCCCGCCCATTGGAATTCTGGGTTGAGATCCCAGTGCCTGATGGGGCAAAAAACATTGTCGCAGGTGGTTCTGGGTACAGCCTCACCCCTCCCTCCATGAAAGCAACGGCAGACAACCGTTTCGTGCCTTTTTTCCTGGGTGAACACTGCAGATGCCATACCACGGCAAGTATGGAGCCTGCTCAGCTCAAGACAGCAGTCATGAACATTGTAAACACCTCGCGCATTCTCGTGCAGTTTATGCTGAACCAGGACCAGAAAAACGAGGCGAGGAGGAGGCAGCGACGGCAGCACAGCGACAAGAGTGATGAGGATATGGACATGGACACAGAATTCTCTCAAACCGCGGGCCCCGGTGCTTTGGAGATCATGTTGTTAATGGGGCAGGTTCTATCCGTGGAACGCCGATTCTGAGCCCGGGAAACAAGCACAGACTGGTGGGACCGCATAGTGTTGCAGGTGTGGGACGATTCCCAGTGGCTGCGAAACTTTCGCATGCGTAAGGGCACTTTCATGGAACTTTGTGACTTGCTGTCCCCTGCCCTGAAGCGCCAGAATACCAAGATGAGAGCAACCCTCACAGTTGAGAAGCGAGTGGCGATAGCCCTGTGGAAGCTTGCAACGCCAGACAGCTACCGGTCAGTCAGGAATCAATTTGGAGTGGTTTCAGAGTAGCAGCCGTGTTAGTCTGTATCCGCAAAAAGAAGAACAGGAGTACTTGTGGCACCTTAGAGACTAACAAATTTATT